TGAAAGAGTGAGCAGACGTAGTTATCTCTCTTTAGTTTCAGCTCATTAAACGATGTGTTTCACTGTGCATAAAACCAGAACTCAATTGTGTGTTTAGGGAACGATGAAACCACAAACAGAAATCGGGAGACAATGCTGGAAGGAATAGTATTATATAAAGGCGGCGTGCTCCTCACAGAGATAGATTGCAGTCAAGGATCACTTCGAGAAATTGGGAAAGGAGAAAAATATCTTAATGAGAAAACGACTTTTGCCCCATTTGGGTCACTTTTTTTGTCTCTCATGAGCCGAAAGCAACAGGAAATATTTTTTTCTTTGATGTGGTTGATATTTATCTTTGAGTAAAAAATGGCCTAAAGTATCGACGTTTTTCGTTCTCTGTGTATTTTCTTTCTTTCTTTGTATTGTTTTAAGATAGCGTCAACTTAGGCCTTTAAAACGATGCTTAGATAATTAGATGCTAAGAAGGCATGAACAGTAAAGGCAAGAAGAATAACAAGAAGAAGAAGAAAAGCAAGAAAAAGAAGAAAATAAGGGGAAAAGGAGAATTAAAGGAAAAAACAGTAAGTTAGTGATAAAAATGATGAAGAAGAAAATTTGAAAGAAGAAGAAAAAGAAGGAGGAGGAGGAGGTTGAACTGAGGTTCTTCTATGACATCATTACTGCTGCTACTTTCGCTGCCCTTTCCTCTCATCAGTTATGAAGAAGAATATGAGGGAGAAAAAGCAGAAACAGTGATGCAAACGAATATTGTCAAAGGAAGAAAAGTAATTGAAAAAGGGTGAAAAGTGATTTTTTTAAAAATACTAATGTTCACCCAATACAAGGCTCAAGAGACACTCAAGGTAGAGGTTACTTTTCAGAGTTGTATGCGTGTAAGGAAAAATGCAAAAACTGAAGTTCAAGGGGATCAAGAAAGATAACGGTTAGCCTTAGACTTGAAGAGGATTGTAGTTATTATGAAAATATCTTGCAAGAATTCTATTTCACAAAACAGTAGTTCTTGGGAAGATGCTATCCGATTGGAACTTACTTCTTACTAAGGGAACACAAAAAGAATAGAGAATTGTGAAGGGAAGACATTGAAGGAAAAATAAGAAAAGAAAAATCGGAAACTAGAAAATCCTGAAACAGAAGAAAATGATAACGAAAAGAAGATAAAGTTAATAAGAAGAAGGTGATCAGTATAAACTAAGAATAGGAATAAGTTAAGAATAAGAAGAAAATCAGAATAAACTAAGAATAGGAATAAGTTAAGAATAAGAAGAAAATCAGAATAAACTAAGAATAGGAATAAGTTAAGAATAAGAAGAAAATCAGAATAAACTAAGAATAGGAATAAGTTAAGAATAAGAAGAAAATCAGAATAAACTAAGAATAGGAATAAGTTAAGAATAAGAAGAAAATCAGAATAAGAATAGGAAAACTAAGAATAGGAATAAGTTAAGAATAAGAAGGAAATCAGAAGAAAATAAGAATAGGAAAAGTTAAGAATAAGAAGAAGAAGAAAATCAGAATAAACTAAGAATAGGAATAAATTAAGAATAAGAAGAAAATCAGAATAAACTAAGAATAGGAATAAGTTAAGAATAAGAAGAAAATCAGAATAAACTAAGAATAGGAATAAGTTAAGAATAATAAGAAATCAGAATAAACTAAGAATAGGAATAAGTTAAGAATAAGAAGAAAATCAGAATAAACTAAGAATAGGAATAAGTTAAGAATAAGAAGTGGATCAGTAAAAACTAAGAATAGGTATAAGTTAAGAATAAGAAGAGGATCAGAATAAACTAATAATAAGAATAAGTTAAGAATAAGAAGAAAAAGTAAGAATAAGAATAAGAATAAGAAAATCAGAATAAACTAAGAAAGAATAAGAATAAGAAGAGGATCAGAATTAATAAAGAATAAGAATAAGAATAAGAAGAAAATCAGAATAAACTAAGAATAGGAATAAGTTAAGAATAAGAAGAAAATCAGAATAAACTAAAATAAGAATAGGAATAAGTTAAGAATAAGAAGAAAATCAGAATAAACTAAGAATAGGAATAAGTTAAGAATAAGAAGAAAATCAGAATAAACTAAGAATAGGAATAAGTTAAGAATAAGAAGAAAATCAGAATAAACTAAGAATAGGAATAAGTTAAGAATAAGAAGAAAATCAGAATAAACTAAGAATAGAATAAGTTAAGAATAAGAAGAAAAAGAATAAACTAATAATAAGAATAAGAAGAAGAATAAGCAAGATGGGAATAAGTTAAAATAAAAATCAGAATAAACTAAGAATAAGAATAAGTTAAGAAGAAGAAAATCAGAATAAACTAAGAATAGGAATAAGTTAAGAATAAGAAAATCAGAATAAACTAAGAAAGGAAAAAAGAATAAAGAAGTGGATCAGTATAAACTAAGAATAGGAATAAGTTAAGAATAAGAAGAAAATCAGAATAAACTAAGAATAAGAATAAGTTAAGAATAAGAAGAAAATCAGAATAAACTAAGAATAGGAATAAGTTAAGAATAAGAAGAAAATCAGAATAAATAAAATAGGAATAAGTCAAGAATAAGAAGAAAATCAGAATAAATAAACTAAGAATAGAATAAGTTAAGAATAGGAATAAGTTAAGAATAGGAATAAGTTAAGAATAAGAAGAAAATCAGAATAAACTAAGAATAGGAATAAGTTAAGAATAAGAAGTGGATCAGAATAAACTAATAATAACAATAAGTTAAGAATAAGAAGAAAATCAGAATAAACTAAGAATAGGAATAAGTTAAGAATAAGAAGAAAATCAGAATAAACTAAGAATAGGAATAAGTTAAGAATAAGAAGAGGATCAGAATAAACTAATAATAAGAATAAGTTAAGAATAAGAAGAAAATCAGAATAAACTAAGAATAGGAATAAGTTAAGAATAAGAAGAAAATCAGAATAAACTAAGAATAGGAATAAATTAAGAATAAGAAGAAAATCAGAATAAACTAAGAATAGGAATAAGTTAAGAATAAGAAGAAAATCAGAATAAACTAAGAATAGGAATAAGTTAAGAATAGAATAAACTAATAATAAGAATAAGTTAAGAATAAGAAGAAAATCAGAATAAACTAAGAATAGGAATAAGTTAAGAATAAGAAGTGGATCAGTATAAACTAAGAATAGGAATAAGTTAAGAATAAGAAGAGGATCAGAATAAACTAATAATAAGAATAAGTTAAGAATAAGAAGAAAATCAGAATAAACTAAGAATAGGAATAAGTTAAGAATAAGAAGAAAATCAGAATAAACTAAGAATAGGAATAAGTTAAGAATAAGAAGAAAATCAGAATAAACTAAGAATAGGAATAAGTTAAGAATAAGAAGAAAATAAACTAAGAATAGGAATAAGTTAAGAATAAGAAGAAAACTAATAAAATAAGAATAAGTTAAGAATAAGAAGGAAATCAGAATAAACTAAGAAAAATAAGTTAAGAATAAGAAGTGGATCAGTGAAAAAACTAAGAATAGGAATAAGTTAAGAATAAGAAGAAAATCAGAATAAACTAAGAATAGGAATAAGTTAAGAATAAGAAGAAAATCAGAATAAACTAAGAATAGGAATAAGTTAAGAATAAGAAGAAAATCAGAATCAGAATAGGAAAAGTTAAGAATAAGGAATCAGAATTAAGAATAAATTAAAGAAAATCAGAATAAACTAAGAATAAAATAAGTAAGAATAAGAAGAATAAACTAAGAATAGGAATAGAAGAATAAACTAATAATAACAATAAGTTAAGAATAAGAAGAAAATAAAATAAACTAAGAATAGAATAAGTTAAGAATAAGAAGAAAAAAGAATAAATAAGAATAAATAAGAATAGGATCAGAATAAACTAATTAATAAGAATAAGTAAAGAATAAGAAGAAAATCAGAAGAATAAAATAAGAATAAGAATAAGAAGAAAATCAGAATTAAGAATAGGAATAAGAAGAAAATGAAAAAAGAATAAACTAAGAATAGGAATAAGTTAAGAATAAGAAGAATAGGAAAATTAAGAATAAATCTAAGAATAGGAATAAGTTAAGAATAAGAAGAGGATCAGAATAAACTAATAAAAGAATAAGTTAAGAATAAGAAGAAAATCAGAATAAACTAAGAATAGGAATAAGTTAAGAATAAGAAGAAAATCAGAATAAATAAGAATAGAATAAAAGAATAAGAAGAAAACTAAGAATAAATAGGAATAAGTTAAGAATAAGAAGAGGATCAGTATAAATTAAGAATAAGAATAAGTTAAGAATAAGAAGAAAAGGTTAAGAATTTAAGAATAAGAATAAGAAGAAGGTTCAGAATATAAGTTAAGAATAAGAAAAAAGAATTAAGAATAAGAATAAGAAGAAAATCAGAATAAACTAAGAATAGGAATAAGTTAAGAATAAGAAGAGGATCAGAATAAACTAATAATAAAAGTTAAGAATAAGAAGAAAATCAGAATAATAAGAATAGGAATAAGTTAAGAATAAGAAGAAAATCAGAATAAACTAAGAATAGGAATAAATTAAGAATAAGAAGAAAATCAGAATAAACTAAGAATAGGAATAAGTTAAGAATAAGAAGAAAATCAGAATAAACTAAGAATAGGAATAAGTTAAGAATAAGAATAAGAATAAACTAATAATAAGAATAAGTTAAGAATAAGAAGAGGAATAAAGGAATAAGTTAAGAATAAGAAGAAAATCAGAATAAACTAAGAATAGGAATAAGTTAAGAATAAGAAGAGGAAGAATAAACTAAGAATAAGAAAAGTTAAGAATAAGGAGAAAAATAAGTTAAGAATAGGAATAAGTTAAGAATAAGAAGAGGTTCAGAATAAACTAAGAATAAGAATAAGTTAAGAATAAGAAGAAAATCAGAATAAACTAAGAATAGGAATAAGTTAAGAATAAGAAGAGGATCAGAAAAACTAAGAATAAGAATAAGTTAAGAATAAGAAGAAAATGAGAATAAACTAAGAATAGGAATAAGTTAAGAATAAGAAGGGAATAAATCAGAATAGGAATAAATTAAGAATAAGGAAAAAGAATAAACTAAGAAAGAATAAGAAGAATAAGAAAGTGGATCAGAATAAACTAATAATAACAATAAGTTAAGAATAAGAAGAAAATCAGAATAAACTAAGAATAGGAATAAGTTAAGAATAAGAAGAAAATCAGAATAAACTAAGAATAGGAATAAGTTAAGAATAAGAAGGAAATCAGAATAAACTAAGAATAGGAATAAGTTAAGAATAAGAAGTGGATCAGTAAAAACTAAGAATAGGAATAAGTTAAGAATAAGAAGTTGATCAGAATAAACTAAATAATAACAATAAGAAGAATAAGAAATAATCAGAATAAACTAAGAATAAGAATAAGAAGAAAAAGGAAAAAATAAACTAAGAATAGGAAGTTAAGAATAAGTTGGATCAGAATAAACTAATAATAACAATAAAGAATAAGAAGAAAATCAGAATAAACTAAGAATAGGAATAAGTTAAGAATAAGAAAAAGAAAAATAAGAATAGGAAAAGTTAAGAATAAGGAATCAGAATAAGTTAAGAAAGAATTAAGAAGAAGTGGATCAGAATAAACTAAGAATAGGAATAAGTTAAGAATAAGAAGTGGATCAGTATAAATTAAGAATAGGAATAAGTTAAGAATAAGAAGAAAATGAGAATAAACTAAGAATAGGAATAAGTTAAGAATAAGAAGGGGATCAGTATAAATTAAGAATAGGAATAAGTTAAGAATAAGAAGAGGATCAGAATAAACTAAGAATAACAATAAGTTAAGAATAAGAAGAAAATCAGAATAAACTAAGAATAGGAATAAGTTAAGAATAAGAAGGGGATCAGTATAAATTAAGAATAGGAATAAGTTAAGAATAAGAAGAAAATGAGAATAAACTAAGAATAGGAATAAGTTAAGAATAAGAAGGGGATCAGTATAAATTAAGAATAGGAATAAGTTAAGAATAAGAAGAAAATCAGAATAAACTAAGAATAGGAATAAGTTAAGAATAAGAAGGGGATCAGAATAAGCTAAGAATAAGAATAAGTTAAGAATAAGAAGGTGATCAGTATAAACTAAGAATAGGAATAAGCTAAGAATAAGAAGAGGGTCTGAATAAGCTAAGAATAAGAATAAGAATAAGTTAATAATAAGAAGTGGATTAAATAAGCTAAGAATAGGAATAAGTTAATAATAAGAAGGAGATCAGTATAAACTAAGAATGGGAATATGTTAAGAATAAGAAGATCAGAATAAGCTAAGAAAAAGAAAACTCAATGAATAAGAAGAGGATAAGAATATGCTAAGATTGGGAATAAGTGAAGAATAAAAAGAGTATAAGAATATAAGAATACGCAAAGAATAAGAACGAGTTAAGTATAAGAAGTAGATAAGAATAACCTAAGATAAGAATAAGATAAGAAAAATGTTAACGTGAAAGACAAAAAAGAGAAATTATTATTACGATTTGCTACTCAATTTAGAAAGAAAATAATACATTCCTAATGGCGCACAACAACTCTGTGAAGAAAATAAATATATAAAAAAACAAAATGGTTCTAAGGATGTATAGAATTGTTGTAAACTTTAAACGGAAAACGCAATCTTAAACGGGAACCGGAAGCCCAATCCTAAAAAGGAAACAATGTATAAACCTCTGCTCCTGTTTGAAAGGCCTGCCGTCCGGTTCACACTCCTCCACGGTCTTTTAATCAGGAGTAATGTATTATCTCTGGTTTTCTGTTTAGGATTGAGTTTCCTGTTCCTTCTAAAGTCTACTTCAACTCTATACTTCTAACATCTCCACCTAAACTTAAAAATTGTATTTAACATTTTTCTTCCTCAACAGGAGTAGATACGTTTGCTTATCTTCCGGTTCACATGCCTCATTGTTTTTTTTTTTAGCAGAAGTAGAGGTTTGTCCCCTGTTTGGAATTGGATTTACGGTTCCTTTTAATGTCTTGCCATTCTTTTTTACTCCCAGTAGCACCTTACGTCTTGATGGCATTGTCAGAGTTAGCTCCTCCTTAATTCCCCAAATTGTTCACTAGGGGTCGCTCTCCCTACACCATAAATACGGGGCAACTTCTTGCCTCGTTCTCTTTTTTACTTTGCATTTCAGCGGACACATTTAAAAATGTAATCTCTAGCAGAGATCTGCGTTTTGCCCACTTGTGGGAAATCGCCATGAAACACACATACACGTACGTACGAACATTCACCAAAATGCAAACTCTTTACGTTCATACACAAACACAGATGTTGATGTCTTTGTCACTTGTAACCTCCTGAGTATGATAATAAACTGCATCCACGTCCTGGGTAAGACGATAAACTACGTCCAACAGCAATGCCTCTGATCAGGAGGTTTTGAGGAGCGTGGAACCAACTCTTAATTGCTGGTGTTCCCAGGTCCACCCTGACCCGGGGTGGTAGCATCTGTCAGGGTCCCAGCTATGGGCAAATAGTTGAGCCCACAACCCACAACTATGAAAGTGTAAAAATAGATTTTTAATACCAGAAATACCCTTAACAAAAATTAGTATCAGCAATAAATATTTGAAAAAAAATATTACCAGAAATAAAAATCTTGTCAGCATTAAATAACCCATTGAGGTTAATATGCCAGAAAACAAAACAACCCAAACTATACATTAAAAAAAAAAAAAAAAAATTACCAGCTATACATTTTGGGAAAAAAGGGAAATTTTGTCGGCATCAAATAACCCATTGTGGTTGATATGCCGTAAAACAAACCAAACCAAACCAAACCAAATTGTCACTTGTAAATTTGTTGTTTAATACATATATTTGTTTATATATCGGTCTTCTTCGGTTTTCTTTACATCTTCGGTTGGACTCAACTTGAGTCCGCATTGTTCTTTTAGTTGGACCTTCTAGCAGGAATAAACAGCACGTGTTCGTAATTCAACAACACTCGAACCCACACAGTCCTCTACAGCATCATTGCATTGCCTGGAGTGAATTGATTAAGGGAAAAGGAAAGAAAAATCATATAAAAAAGATGCTAAGTGACTCGGATTCTTAAAATTTTTTAATTAAAAAAAATTAAAAAAACAATTTCAAACGCAGACGGCCAAAATATACTCAGAATTAAGGATGCCAGTAGAGGAAAACACAAAATCCAATATGGTGGCTGAAGAGTGCAGGCTAAAAACAGAGACGGAGTTTTTTATAATGGATGCGTAAGATCAAAGTCTATTTACGAGAAATTACCAAAGATAATAAAAAATAGTGCAAGCCTAAGAACATAATGTTACGATTGTTTATCACTTAGTGTCTGGTTTGTCTAATCTTGACTCTGAAGGAAAACAAAGATGGACATGATAAAAATTGGGCAGTATGGTCATTGGCATATCAATAGCCATGTGATGGAATTGGTATGAACATCATCTTGAACCAGTCATAGAAGGACATGAAGTCAGTATACTTTGGAATTTTACCATTCATAGTGATAGTCATATAAATGCTAATAGATCAGACATAGTGATTAAAGACTACAAAAAATGCGTTCTCATATATATATGGTTGTGCCAACAGATAAAAATATATCTGTTAAAGGATATGACAAAATAACTTGAATATATAGGGTGTCCATAAATCTCTTTAAAATTTAAAAAATATATTACAAAGGTAATTGATGAGATATCTTAATCGGATTTGTTCTATGTACTTAGTAGTTATCAAAGTTTTTAATCACATTGGATTTGTGTACTTCAAGTCTTCTGTTGATGCAAAAGGTACTGTTAAATGAACCCCTAACATTTCCAGACTGGATTGGAAGGAATGGACCAATTTCCTGGACGCTTCATTCACTCTCCTGGATTTCTTTTTTATGGGGTTATGTTAAAGATAATTACATATCCAACAATGATACGGGACATCAAATATAAGTAATATCTAGTCGGTGAAAGTAAATTAAGCGCGGCAGGTGAATGTGAAAAACCACATTGCACCTAAATCAGACCAGAGGCAATGTCACCTCCAAACGCCTGAATATCCGACGCGGAATCTTTCAAACTGTCACCCTTTCTGTTTTGTCTGTCCTTAATCCCCCTGAATTAGCTATGGATACAAAGTAAACAAAAAATTATTCAATCACCTACTCTACATGGATGATCTTAAACTCATTGCCAAAGACCGCAATGAGTTGAAAGGTCTCCTCAATACTCTAAAATGTGATGACAAAAAGTGACGATTTTGGCAAAAGTAAGATTCAAGAAAGGGAGAATTACAGAAACAGACTGATGTATATTTTGTCACAAAGATTATGGAACTGGCACATGAAGAAGCCGATGGGCACTTAGGAATTAGCGAATGAGAAGGAATACAGCATACTCAAATGAAGTAGAAAGTAAGAATATAATACTACATGTGTGTGCGTCTGGTATTGAATACCGATTTAAATTAAAAAAAAAACAAAAAAACAAAAAACAAACAGAATATGAGTCTTGGTTGTCCCCGGAGTGCAATACAGTTTCAACATACTTAATTGGACCATAGCGGACATTAAACGAATGTACGCCAAAATGAGAAAGCTTCTCACTTGCCATCGCATGCATCATTCAAAGGCTGATTTTGATCATCTGTGCGTGCCCAGAGCCTAAGGAGGGAGAGGATTAGTTCAACTAGAACTGTCTTACAAAACTACAACAATCGGCCTTCAAAGATACCTGGAAACTACAGAAGACGGGATCTGTGTCAAAGAACTTGAAAGGAGTAAGAAATTTTATTCAGTAATAAATCAAGCCAACAAGTTCAAAATGAAGTTTCAAGTGGGTGAAGAAATACAAGTAGGCCATACGACGATTACTACAGTTGCAAAAACCTTACAAAAAACAAAGCTAAGGCAAGTGCAACCGACCAGATACAGAAACGATGGCAAGAGAAACCGCAGCACGGTAAATACTCTGCCCGTACCAAAAAAAGCTGACGTAGTCAAATCCCGTACCCATCAGTGGCTATGTTGTGCAGGGTTAAAAGCTGAAACCGAAGGTTTTATTCTTGCTGCACAGGATCAATACTTGCTAACTAAAAATTACCAAGTACACATACTGATAAATTTTGTTAGTCCAAAATGCAGATTCTATGATAAATATCCAGAAACAATTGACCATCTAGCATCAAGTTGCACGGTCTTGGCACCCAGTCAGTCAGTTATGTGCCATGCGTGATACACACTTAGGCGATCATCTATCTTTTGATACTTGACTGACGAGGCAGATTTTTCCCGCAGTAGGTTGCCATTTCTTCTTGTTGTCATCCAAGACTATAGAACCCGGTCTGTCTGGGGTGGGGGAAAGAAGAAGAGGATTAATGCCTTTCCTAAGGGTATTAGCACGTAAGTGAATGTTATGGATTCAACTGGAAATCGAACTCGGCTCTCCGATTTTTCAATCTGAGCCGCTATCTATTACACTGCAGTGCCTTCTACTTGGCGCCCATTGAATATAAAACCAGGCATGACAGGAGTGGGTCAATATCTATATTGGAAAATCTGCAACACTTACGGGAAGGAAACTGCAAGAAATTGGTACGATCACCACCCAGACCAGGTTACGGAGATAGGACCTGAAACATTTTTTATGGGACTTTAAAATACACTCAGACAGAAGAATCAAAGCTAATCTCCCAGACATCGGATCAGAAAGACAAAATATGTCTTCTTACTGACATGACATTCCCTGCAGGCTGCAGCATATTTTTGAAGATCTTCAAAAACTATCAAAATACAAGGAACTTCAAATCGAAATCTCCAAAATGTGGCACATGAGGACATCAACAACTCCAGTTGTAGTTGGAGCTCTCAGATTGATTGGAAAAGATTCCAATAGACTCATTGAAGGGATTCCTGGTAGCCCATGTCTGAAAGAAATACAAAAAATTGTACTCACAAGTACAGCCCACACCTAAAAATATTTCGACAGTGCGCCTGTTTGCTTCAAGTTATGTCTAAAAAAAAAATCTAATCCAACTCTTTGTCCAAATGTCGCTTGTCTTGAGAAAAACGGTTGTAATGGTAATCAACGCGACGAAGCGAATGAAACGTAGCCAGCGTGAGTGGAGTGCAACTTACAAGTGAGTAACATGATAGGGCACGTTCTCTTGAAATTTTCCGTTAGTTAATTAGTTAGTAAGAGCAATTAATCAGATAATTTAGTGTAAATCTCATGGGACTTTCCTGTTATTTTGTAGATTCCTCCGAGGCGGGCCGTTAATAGTTTTCATATGTGATTATGTGCATGCATTTTACGGTTTGAATGGACAGTGGATTCTGTAAATTTTTAGTTATTATTTATTTTTGCCTCGTCGTTTATTCTATCTTTTATGAATAGATTATTGTTTGTCTTCTGGATTGAGTAACAATCAATAATTAATCTGACATGTTCACTATCTGAATAATATTCAAACTTTCTGATTGAACGCGCCTCCAAATTGCATAGATGCTATAGCTGTATAAAGAAAAAATTATTATCAAGCCAAATATTTTCTTGCTTTCTCTTAACGAAATTTTCACAATGAAGCCATTTTTATTTAATGGAAACAAAAATTTAAAGATTACAAAAACGAGTTTTTTTTTGTTTTTTGTTTTTCATTTAAATTTTAATATTACGAATGGATATTAAAAAAAGAAGAAGAAAGAAAACAGACAAAAAGCAAGGACAGTTCTATTCATTATCCGCCTCTGCGATTCGCTAGTCATACCTCTTGGCTTTTTGAATAACGCTTATACTCTTTCAAATACCTAATTAGGAGCATGTTTCTTTCCAAGTAATTACACATCTGACCTCAGAGCAGATTCATTTTTCTGAATAAACCAAAGAAGTAAAAGAAAGAATTGTGGAAGCGTAATATCTTTTTCTTTCTTTCTTTCAGCTGTGAAAGTTCACTTCGCATATGAGCTCATGTACAAAACTCTTGCCGTTGTGTTTTTTTTTTTTTTCCGCAGACCGACACAAAACCGATCTAAGGATAGGACAGAAATCTTAGAGTTTTTAAGTTGCGATGTTCCTGTCTTAAGCATCAAGTGATTGGCAAAGAATTTTCAATATAAGAATCCCGGAGAATGTCAACATTTTGTGAGCCATTTCCTCCAGCCTTCGCTTCTTTTTTTTTCCCGCCCTTTATTTATTATTTAAATATGAGCTGTTATCTAATGTGTCGTTGGATAAAATAGTTCTAGTTTCAGGCTGACACGGAAAAAGAGATGAACTTTAATTATTGGCAAACAGCAGCCGATCCACACTCTGAAGAAAAGGAAATGAAGAAACACACACACACACACACACACACACACACACACACACACACACACACACACACACACACACGAAAAGAAAACATGCCATTTTTTATTTTCATTTTTGACATTTTGATCTGTGCCTTTAGACTTCTTTTTAAGGTTTTGATCTCTCCAATGGAATGGCATAATTCTTCAGAACTTATTCGCCATTTCAAAAAACACATAATCCACGCGCAAGATGATTCCAATTCCGGTTTGACATTTTAAATTTTTTTTCATCCAACTTACACAAATTATAAGAGATTATTGTGCTATTTCTAAAATCTGCTTGTATTTTTTTTTTAATAAATTTTATTTATTTTTATTTTTTATAAATTTTATTTATTTTTATTTTTAAATTTTTAATTTCATTTATTAATTTTCATTTTATTTATAAAAAAATAAAATTTATTTATAAATTTAATAATAAATAAATTTATTTATAAATTAAATAAAATTTATTTAAAATTAAGTAAAATAAAAAATTAAATAATAAAAAATTAAATAATAAAAAATTAAATAATAAAAAATTTATTTTTTATTTTTATTTACTTTTTATAAAGATTTTTTAAAAAAGGACAATTAGGAAAAAACTTAATTTCTTTAGAATATTTAATATTTAAAAAAAACATTTATGCAACCCATTTTAATAAGACCACATCGGACAAAGTTTTTAAAAAAAATTCTAATTAATTTAAACAGAACATAAACAGTGGTCACCTTCTTCTTCTTCTCCTCTTTCTTCTTCTTCTTCTTCTTCTTCTTCTTCTTCTTCTTCTTCTTCTTCTTCTTCTTTGTGCCGTGCCCCTTCAGAATGTGTGCGATAATAGCTCTCTCTTAATTTCCATACTTTGTAGCTCTTAATAAAGTTCGTCTACAAACCAAGACGTTATGTAGGTTATTCGATGTCTCTTGCCTTCAATATGCCTTCTTAGTGTTACATTTTCTAAGCCCTCTTTCCTCATGAATTTCAACTGTCTCTAAGCATGTGTCCTTTTTTGATTCCATTTTCTCTAAAAACTCGTCATTGAACACATGTTCAATAAATGACATCCCCAGCATCCTTCTGTAGAACCACATTTCTGTTGCCTCAAGCCTTTTATTCATTTGTGATGAGAGTGTCCAGCATTCACTACTGTTTTAAGTTGTTCCAGATACAGCGGGTTTAAGCTTCGGTTAGACAACTTCCTTTACATCTGCTACGTTGAAAGAATGAAAATTAAACTCATATGTTTTTGCCTCGTCATATTTAGAAGCCTTTCAAATGTCAAAGTACTTCAGATTATAAAAAGAAGAAAAAAAAGTTACGCTTTGTTTAAGTACTGGAATCGAGCTGTGGAAACCTTGAGGTGTTCCTTATGAGGTCACCACAAAGAGAAGCCTTTAACTCATAGAGCCCGGAGAAAGTTTTGAAGAAGACCAGAAGAAAAAAATAAAAAAGAAAAAAATAAAAATAAAAAAAATGAAAAAAATGATAAATAAAAAAAAATAACCAGGATAATTCATCAAGTTTATGAATTCAGAGAGAAGAATAACAATCTGGAACAGGTCAAAAACTATAAGATATCAAAATTAAGAAAACATATTTGTAATAATAATGCAACAGTAATACAAAAACCAATTCTTGTTTTTGTTCTTGTTCTTGTTCTTGTTCTTGTTCTTGTTGTTCTTCTTCTTCTTCTTCTTCTTCTTCTTCTTCTTCTTCTATAATAATAATAAAAATAATAATAATAATAATAATGAGAAGTATCAGAAGAAAAGAACTCTATCTCGGTTTGCATCTATTTCCATACGTATCTATCTATCTATCTATCTATCTATCTATCTACATTATCTATCTATCTATCTGTCAGGCTATTCATATCTATCTATCTATCTATCTATCTATCTATCTATCTATCTATCTATCTATTTCAATAAGTATTTATATACCTAATAGCCGAATTACCCGCGCCTTCCTGCACACATTTTTTGTAAGAAAATGATGATTAATTTTAAATCATTGTTATCATTTGTGGAGAAAAATGATGCATTTCAGTATTACCCAATATTCTTGACGATGTGACCTCCATCTTCTGGTTTTTTCCTATATTTTCGGCTGGACTCATTCCCTTGTTCAAATTTAAATTTAATTTAAATAAAAGAGAAACAATTTTCAGTGGGCGGGTGTGTTTGCGCAAAAACAGCTTGATCTGACCGCATTGATATGTATTTGATTCAATACTTGATTGAATGAATTGATGAGCAGATTTCAACATTGATATGGCAGTTAAATTGTCGCAACAAATATGTATTGTAAGGCACTACCCACTGATTGGGGATTTCTTGCTCAACTTGACATCCATCTTGTCTCATTTTGATCTTGTTGATGTGACCTTGATCTTCTGGCTTTCTCTTTCTATATTTTAGATAGGAGTCATTCCCTCGTTCACATTCGAACTTAATTTAAATCAAAGGAAAAAAATCAGTGCCCCCCGAATCCACTTTGATCAAAATGAAATATACTTATCCAAGTACCCTCGGAATCATTCCCTCGTTCAAATCTAAATTTAATTTATATCAAAGATAAAAAAAATTCATTGGGTGTTTGTGCCCCACGGCTCCCCTTTGATCAAAAGGATCTATCTATCTATCTATCTATCTATCTATCTATCTATCTATGTGTGTGTGTGTATGTGTGTGTGTGTCATGATATTCATATCTATCCATCTATAGCAGGCTATTTATATCTTTCAATCCATCTATATGTGTCAGGTTATTCCTATCTATCAAGCTATCTATGCCAGACTGTTCAAATCTATCTATCTATCTATCTATCTATCTATCTATCTATTCAAAAGCTCTCGGTCCGATCAACTTCTCAAGATTTAGCTAAACGACCAAACATTAGAATTTTACTTGGAATCTCCATTCGGTCGAACCGAGAACGTTTGTAACACTACTTCGAGCGTGCGTGTGTATACGCGTACACACACACAAACACATACACACACACAAACACATACACGCACGCACATTATTAGATTCTTTGTGATTGATAGTGTAGTGGGTTACTGTTGTCTTCTCCACTGTGATTTTATTGAGACACCAACTCTAGGTAGCTGGCCGTTGACTCATCAAGAGTTCTTCCATCCTTTGATAGATCTTATTTCACTTCCATCAGGTTAGCTAACTATACACCTTGCACCCAACGAAGTCAGGCGATGGAGCCAATTGAGTTGCCGACCATTCGACAAATCGGATTTCTGTGTCACATTTTCTGTCGCCTGTGATTACACAACGTGATGCAGAGTATATTGCATGTGTGCAAAGATCAGCAACATGGCATATTCATTCAGAATGAGACCGACATTTCGGTCGATGGTATGCGACAGTTGCATCCTCACAAATTGTGAAAACCGTCGGCAAGAATCGAACACACCAACGGGAGCTTTTGAAAAATAGCTAGCTAAATAAATCACCACACTTTGGCAGGCTCGCCCACTTTTTTTTTTTTAATGCTGTATGCGAGACAGGAAACTTGATGCTAAATAAATATCGAAACACTAAAAAAAAAATCACTTACAAGGAATCTCAATAAACGACGTCTGCGTACATAGAATAAACAAAGGTTGAAACGGATCAAATCAAATCATTATCCTAATTAGATTTATTGAACACTGGAATAATTAAATGTTTCTGATGTTTTCGAATCGTTACAGACTTACTTGAGTGATTCTGGTATACACGTATATATATATATATATATATATATTTATATATATATATATATGAATATATCTGTATGTGTACATATATAAATGCACATATATATATATATATGTACATGTACATATATATATTATACATGTATATATATATATGTATATGTACATATACATATGTACATATACATGAATATATATACATATATATGTACATATAAAAACATATGTACATATACATATATATATTTACACACACACACACATATATATATGTGTGTGTGTGTGTGTATAATACACACAAAGATGTCAACTTTTTGCCTCATATATTTATAGGTATATATATATATATTATAATCTGATGCAGATATGTATATGCGTATACGTATATATATATATATATATATATACATATACATCTATATATGTCTGTCTCACTATATATGAATTAATATCAACATACAATCATTATGAGTGAATATATATATATATATATAAGTCCATAAATTATATATATATATATATATATATATATAATGCGTATGTATGTGTGTATTATTTACTCTGAGCTCACCTTCGTCTGGCTCAAAGATATATATCTCTACATATCCAGATATACAAAAAGCATATATGCACAAACACATATATATACATATACATACATATTTACGTGTGAGTATGTGTGTGTATTTGTGAAGAGAGCATGATGTATCCAATAACTGTTGCATGTGGTAATGTGTGTCTGTATGTGTTTGACTACTTTAGCCGTGATGAAGAAAAAAAACAAAACAATTGTACGAAGGAATTTGATGAGTTTTCCAGCGAGACGCCCGCATTTAATAAAACTGTATTTAGACACCTACATCTATACCGACATTTGTTTGCGGATGTTTGGAAAAAAATCAAATTAA